CCCATGATCCATGGCCACTGAGCCTGCGCATCTGGAGCCTGTGCTCCGCAAGGGCAGAGGCCACAACAGTGAGAGGCCCGCGTACCGCAAAAAAAAAAACAACAAAAAACCCTCCAGGGTAGGAAGTAGCAGGGCAACAATTCAAGCTCAGACCTCTGCAAAGCATGAGGTGGGGAGGTGATGGGCCCCCAACTAGTCCTGCTCCAGTGAGGCCAGAAGCCACCCATCCCAGGCTAGGCTCTGGCTCCCCAAGTAAGTACAGACCAGAGGCCAAGGCGCTTTCTCTGGGGGACCAAGAACATCCCTCTCTCTCTCTCACTCTTCCTTCCTTCCTCCCAACACCCTGTTTATGCCCATAACTCTCTCCATTCCCCTAAGAGCTAAGCTGTTGGAAACCAAGGGCTGGAAGCCTCTTTTCTTCTGCCCGCCACCCCTTCATACCCTTTCTGAAGGAAAGGGCAAACAGCCCTTCTGATTGGAAGGGCCAGGTGAAAGAGGAAAGAATGCTTCATGCCTCAACAATAATGTCCTGCACAATATTCTCTTGTGCAGTGATGGCCTCAGATGACTTCTTCCCAGTGGCAGAACCCGTGTGTGCCAGGGCCACTCTCTGGGGATGGAAGAGAACCTGACAGTCCCATCCCGGAAAACACCACCCCTGCCAGGGCCCTCTCCCCCAGCCATTCACCCAGGTGTCCTCAGTCTCTTGACGTAAGGGCCCTGCTAGGCTTCCCTCTGGGAGCAGAGAGAACTACTGGGGAAGCACAGTGAGTGTGGAGCAAGGCACAGTATCCACGCACCCTCACCTCCCCCAGGGCTGCTCCTGGCACTCTGGGTTGAAATTCCACGTGCATTTCTCTTTTCTCCCACTAGTCCGCGAGCCCCTTGAGAGCTGGGACTGCGCCATAGTCACAAAGCACTCACACCATAATAAGTACAGCAAAAGCTCTCAGTGAGGAGGAGGTGCGATGGTTTGTATGAGGAGGGTTTGCTATTATTCTTCTCTTTGGAGTCCCACTCCTACCTTAGACGCTGTCTGGTCCATGGAGATCTGGCGTACATGAATGAATGAGGAGCCTTACGCTGGACATGGAGGGCCGGTGATGAGGGGAGAGGGGACAGCCTTGCTGCCCGGGACACCAGTTTCGCCCAAGTTGTGTGAGGAAACCCAGGCTGGATAAAGGGAACAGAGAGAAGGAAGCAGCTGGCTTCATGAGCAACCCAGGAACAAACACTTGGTTTGCATGAGCCACAGGAAGCAAAGGGGTTCGTGAAAACTCCCTGTAGCATCTCTTCCCATCCCCCAGATTAGGAGTGCTTTTCCACCTGCACACAATACACCCTTAGGTACGTACGTGTCTACAACTTAAACTTTCCCACAATCTCCCAGACTAACTAGATCTGTATCCCCGGAGTGGAAGCTGCATTTCCCACACTTGCCATATTACTCGGACACGCTCTCAGCACCCCTGAGAGCAGACAGGTTTTCTTCCACAAAGTGAGCTGCTAACGGCTTTCTGGGCTCTTTGTTAGAGATGTGCATTGTGGCTGCAATGTCCAGCCAAGCACAACTCGAGAGGTTTTGCTCTAAGCCTTGATGCCTGTGAGATAATAGAAAAAATATACATTGGTCTCTGCCCCCAGTACCTGGCACAGAGCTCCTAAAACCCTTGTAATTTCCTGAGTGACAGGAGTGTCTTTTTTTTTCTGATGAAGTGACTCAGGTTGGGCGCCTGGATTGGGGCCAGTCTCTAGAAAGACCAAGCCATGTTGAGAAGCTTGGAGTTTTCAGCACCAGCCTCCTGTCCTTCAGAGTTAATGATTGCTCAGGCCTATGTAGTGAAGC